ATCAAAGGGAATAATCAATGTCTACGCATATTCCTTGGATTTAGTGTTCCAGTCCCTTCTTTTAGCACTTCGTCAGCAATTTATTTATTCTGAAGGATATTGTGAGGAAAGTCAGTCTCAGTTGCTCAGTCCTTCCATCCATGTTTGGCCACATAAGAATGGGCCTTGGGCCTAGAGCACTTCCTTACAAAGAGAGAGAGTCCTCACAGCCTGTGCCGGACTTACTACCTTATGTGGGAATACAGTTCCTTGTTTCAGACCCAATGTGTACTTTGTTTTTTTTAATTTCAAAATATTAAGAAGGTACGAATGTTTTTGTTACATGGATATCTTTTGTAATACTTAAGTTGGGGGCTTTTAGTGTGCCCATCACCCGAATGGTATTCATTGACTCTGATAGGTAGGTTTTTACCCTGTCCCTCCTGCTCCCTCCCCTTTCTTTATTTTCTATGACCTTTAACATCCCTTTGTGCCCATGTGTGCCCACTGATTAGCTCCCACTTCTTAGAGAGTACATGTGGTGTTTGTCTTTCCATTCCTGAGGTACTTTGCTTAGGATAATGGTCTCCAATTCCATCCAACTTGCTGCAAAAGACATTATTTTATTCCTTTTTAAGGCTGAGTAGTACTCCATGGGGTGTGTGTGTGTGTGTGTGTGTATGTGTACACCCCACCTTTTCTTAATCCACTCATTAATTGATGGACACTTAGATGGATTCCACATCTTTGCAATTGTGAATTGTACTACAACAAAGGTTTAGTGCAGGTGTCTTTTTAATAAAATTACTTCCTTTGGGTAGGTACCTAGTAGTGGGATTGCTGGGTTGAATGGTAAGTCTACGTTTATTTCTCTGGGGAATCTCTGTACTGTTTTCTAGAGAGGTTGTACTCATTTGCAGTCCCACCAGCAGTGTATGATGTGTACTTCTTTGTTACCCTCTGTCAGCTGCCAGAAGGAGCTTGCTGGCCACAGAGAACGGATGTCCACTACTAAAGCTGATCTTGCTGTCTCTTCTCTGTATGAGTAAAGCATTGTTCCATCCAGGGCTTGACTGCATTGTTTTCCTTGGTGATTCCAATACTAAGATGCAATGGACAGAAATGCTTGGACTTCTACTCCTGATAATAGGCAACAGGTACCACTTGCTGGACAAATATTCTCTGTAATCCTAAGGTTGTAAAATGCAGAAGAGATACATTTGTTCTGGCGTTGATTCAATAATTTTTTGCCTACAATACAGCACAGTGAAGAGAGCAGGGGCTTTACTCTCAATTTACCTGGGTCCAAATCCCACTTTCTTATTTCAGTCTCTGTGATCATAAGCAGGTTTCTTACTCACTCTGAGTCTCAGTTTCTTCATTAGTAATAGCTTTCACCTATTCATGAGTTAGAATGCGGATGAAATTTGGTGACACCTTCAAAATCCCAGAACAGAGTAGACATTAGTCAATGCAGATTAAGTTCCTGACCACTCACTTCCATTCTCACCCTGTGTGAGAATACTTTCAGTGGAAACTAATGGAGAAACTAACTGAAAGTGGCTTACGCAATAGTCCAGGGGTGGGTAGTCTTGATTGGTGAACTCAGGGCCTTAGTGATACCATCTGTCTGCTGTGCCACCTCCAGGGGATAGTTTTCCTCATGGTCACAAGGTGGCTGCAGCAGCTCCAGGCATCATATTTGTACAGGACAGTGTTCCAAAGAAGAAAAGACTATCTCGTCCTGGGTATATCTTAGAATTGAGGAAAACTTTCTCAGAAGCTGCCAGCACATCTCCTCTTATGTCTCAGAGATCAGAATTTTTCACACGCCCATGCCTAATCCAAGCCCTATCACCAGCCTAGACCAAAGGGCTTTGGACAGACCAAGAGGCTGGCCTCCCTTTAAGTATATCTCCAGGAGGGGTATGGTAGATTCCTGAGCAAAACTGGAGTTCTGATAGGGAAAGGAAGAGGGCATTGGGTGTTGAGGTAGATTACTCAGTGCTGTGTCTGCTACACTCTCCACTGCAGGAAGCCTTGTCTAGGGTAAATTCTAATATGTAAGGAGAGACTAAGCTAACCAGCTGGGAGATGTAGGGTGGGAAAGTAGGTAGGGAATAAAGACAGACAAGATGTCCAGGATGGATGGCCTCTTAGTTGGAGTAAAGGGGCCTGATGACAAAAAGGGAGGTAGAAGGCTCAGTAGACCAGGTTGACCTACTTCACAATTCTGTCTACAGCACGTCCTGTTGGAGCATTAACTGGGACAGTGTAGAATTGAGGCCAAACATATTATGGCCTGTGCTGGTGCAACCAGGAGGTGATATGACTACGGCCTCATTTGAGACGAACATGGATGTTCATGCATTTGAGTAGTGCATGTCTGTGAGTAGGAGCGATGGGCATTCTGACCATGCAGATTTGGAGAACACAATTCCCTGAGTCTTTTACAAAGTCAATGATTAATAATTTTTGACCATCTAACATATCCCCAGCTATAAATTAGCCCCTGGAGAAAAGAAAGATATGTAAGACACAGGGCCTGGCCTTTAAGAATTTAAACTCTACTAAAGGAGTCTGAAGTACCAGAAGTAGAGTTGAGAGCAAAGCCAGACCTTGTGGAATCAAGGGGTAAGGTACATGGTGCAGAGCAGAACTGCAGCAGGAGCTGGGCAAAGTTGACAGGGAGATGACTGAGGACTAAGGTGGGGGAAGGGGAACTTGAGCTGGGGGTAACACCCTGGGCAGGTCAGGGTTTGGCTTAGCACAGACAGGAGTGAGAGAAGAGAGACCCATAGGGATAGGAAGGTGGTGATAAGGGAAGGGTGAGTGACAAGGATGGAGAGGCTCTGTTGGGATAGGGAGAAATTTTTTGGTTAGGGAAAGTGGGCCATGCTGATTTAATTTCATGTTAGGTCCAGTGGGGTCACTATTAAAGTTTGGAGTGGGCCATTTTAGAAAGATTTGCCTGGCTGTGACCCTGAGGGCTTTATTCTGTTTGGGAACATTTTTGATCAAGATGAGCTTAGCCAGGTGTGTGGGGTGGTGTGTCAGGCACATTCTTTCCAGAGAGTGACAAGACTCTTATCAGCACCCTGGCCAGAGACTTTGCCAAAAGCAACTTTGAGAGCAAGTGTGGTCCTGGAAAGGAAAGGAAACATGATTTAGAGCCAGACTTAATTAAAGATATGGCCCTATCACTCATTAGCAAATTATTCTAATCTCACAGTACTTTCATTTTTTTTCATCTGTGGAATGGGCATAATACCCACCTCACAGGATATTTATAGGGAAAACACCTGGTACCTAGAAAGCACTCAAAATACAAGTTCTTTCTCTTCCCCCTTTTGTTTACCCCAAGTGTTAAAACAAAACCCAGGATGCTTGATTTTACGTAATAATGTTGTTCAGTGTTAGCCAATTTTAAAATGGTCTTATCTATAGACGCCCAAGGCAAACAAAAATTTAGGGTTATTTCTTGATTTAAAAATTGGAATTTTCTATAAAAGTTCAGAATGTTTTTATTTTAAAATTGTTTTAAGCACAAGTTTAAAGAATAAATATTTATTTTCATTAACTTTTATTTATAGTTGTATATTTTTTTACCTTTTGAATTAAATATTCATTACAAATTCAATTAAGAAGAGGGAAGGAGAGACAAACAGGTGAGTAGGAGAATGATCAGTGTGAGGGGGGAGACATCCGCTTTTTATCATTTACATTTTCTAAAAAGGCTATTATTGCCTTTTATACTTAAAACTCTCCCAGTTTTATTTCCTCAAATTCAGTGGAAATGGTGACTGGTGTAGTAATGAGGAGGAGGGATGTAAGTATATTCCTTTTTCCTTCAAAAAGGAAAATACCACTTACTACTCATGGAATCAAAAGGCCTGTTTCCCAGACCTTTTCTCTAGGAGGGAAAAAAATCAGATTCTTAGAAAAGTAAGGGAAAGAAAAGAAAAGAAAATGGAGAAAGAAAAAACTTAAAATAGCTATTTGAAACAGTGGTGGGGTGATGGATGAATTTTTTCCTTCATTTACATCGTTGCAATGAAGCATCATTCCTACTGTAATGAAGGCTGAGAGTCCTCTGGGGCCACCCAGGCTCTTTGGGAGGCCGTGTGTGGGGTGTGTGGATGTGAGTGTGGAGAGCAGTTGTGGGTGTGTGAGCCTGTCTGTGTGGAATGCGGAGAGTGTGCACAGTGTGTGTGGAGTTTGGAAAGAGTGTAAGTGTGAGTGTGAGGACTTGAGTGTGGAGAACCTTGTGTTTCAGCTGTGTGTGAGGAATGCAGAGACTGCACATCTGTGTGGAGTTTGGAGACAGAGAGAAAGTGTGTGTGTGTGTGTATGTGTGTGTATAAGTGGGTGTGTGGAACCTGTACATGTGTGGAGTTGGAGAGTGTGTGGATGTATCAGTGGGTGTGTGGAACCTGTACGTGTGTGGAGTTGGAGAGTGTGTGGATGTGTCAGTGGGTGTGTGGAACCTGTACGTGTGTGGAGTTGGAGAGTGTGTGGATTTGTCAGTGGGTGTGTGGAACCTGTATGTGTGTGGAGTTGGAGAGTGTGTGGATATGTCAGTGGGCGTGTGGAACCTGTACGTGTGTGGAGTTGGAGAGTGTGTGGATTTGTCAGTGGGCGTGTGGAACCTGTACGTGTGTGGAGTTGGAGAGTGTGTGGATTTGTCAGTGGGCGTGTGGAACCTGTACGTGTGTGGAGTTTGGAGAGTGTGTGGATGTGTCAGTGGGTGTGTGGAACCTGTATGTGTGTGGAGTTTGGAGAGTGTGTGGATTTGTCAGTGGGTGTGTAAACGTGCGTGTGGAGAGCTGTGTGCGTGCGGAGCGTAGAGCGCGCAGAGGGCGCGGAGTTTGGAGTGTGCGCGCGTGCGCGGGCGTGTGCGCGCGCAGTGAAGCGCGCCAGCGGCACGCGTGGCAGTGCGCGCGCGCGAGCAGAGCGCACCGCGGGCCGAAGCGGCTGACTAGGCGCGCCTCCCGCCCGCCCGACCGGCCCTGTCTGCGGCGGCGGCTGCCGGCAGGGCGGCGGGAGCGCGCGGCGCCGCGGAGGCCGCTCCTCTGCGGATCCCGGCGGGAGAGGGGAGGGCCGGGGAGGACCAGGCGCCCGGGGCGGCCGCGGACATGTGCAGGATGTCCTTCAAGGTAAGCGCCGCGGGCTCCAGGCGGGGACCCAGGCTCGGGCGCCGACCCGCTGCCAGGGCCGCAGGGTGGGGTGGGCGTCGCACACTGTCCCCCGCCCCCGGCTGCGGGCCGCACGGAGGAGGAAGCGGCGGGGCTGAGACGCGCCCTGTGGGTTTGTGGTTTGCTTGTTTCCGCTTCACTTGACAGGCTCTCCGCACTTACCGCTGCGGGTCTGGTGAGCCTGTCCCCGGGACCCGGCGGCGGGGACTGTCGCCGGGGTAACAGGCGGGGGCGGGGAGGAAGCCCGAGGTCAGCGCTTTCCTGCAGCCGCAGAGTTCCCGGAGCCTGTCCCTCTGCGTCCTCTTTCTGGAAAGCCGGCAGCACCCACTGCTGCCCCCTCTCCAGAGGACTTTTTCTGGACACTGAAACCGAGCGACCAGCGGAGTGGAGCTGCAATTGATTACCAGGCTTCAGTGTCCACAGGAATCTCATCTTAGAAGAGTTTATTAAATCATTCCATTTAATACCCACATTTTAGGATGAGAGTGAGGTTAGTTGATTTGCCTGGATTCAAATGTTTTAGTAAAAATAACAGTTAAAATGTACTGAGCAGGTAGAATGTGCCCAGCTATGAACCAAGGGCATCGTGTGCATGGTGTGGATCCTCGGGAAGGCCCCTGTGATGGTGCTCTTCGTGGCCCTACTTTTTTAAAAAATGAGAAAACTAAGGCATAGAGCAGTTAATTCCCCAGAGGCATCGCAGCCAGTAAATTAATGGTATTAAAAGTGAATCCCGTGTGTGTGACTCCCAAGCCACTGTAATCCTATCACTCACGTAAGCAGAGGAATGGCATGACGAGTTGTGCAAGTTAGAAAGATCCTTGGCTACAATTTGGAGAAGAGGATGGCCCCGGGAGACCAGTCAGGAGGATGTTGTAGTCATCTTGTTAAGAAATGGTACTTAGTCCAGGCGCGGTGGCTCACGCCTGTACTCTTCGGGAGGCTGAGGTGGCAGGATGGCTTGAGCCCAGGAGTTCCAAGACCAGCCTGAGCAACATAATGAGACCCCATCTCTACAAAAAGTAGAAAAGTTAGCTGGGCAAGCACCTGTAGTCCCAGCTACTGTGGAGGCTGAGGCAAGAGGATCACTTGAGCCCAGGAGTTCAAGGCTGGAGTGAGCTATGATGATGCCACTGTACTCTAGCCCCCGAGACAGCGGAAGACCCTGTCTCTAAAAGAGAGAAAGAGAGAGAAGAAAAGAAAAGAGACAAGAAGAAAGAAAGGAAAGAAAGGGAAGGGGAGGGAGAGAGAGGGAGGAGGAGAAGGAAGGAAGGAAGGAAGGAAGGAAGGAAGGAAGGAAGGAAGGAAGGAAGGAAAGAAGGAAGGAAGGAAGGAAGGAGTACTGGACCAGGGCATAGGTGATGATGAGAATAGACAAAAGCGAATGACTTAAAAATTTTTTAATCAACAGAATTCAGTGATCGGTTTTATAACTGAATAGGGAAGGCAAGAGGGGTGACAATTAAAGCATTTCGTTTGGGACAAAGTTTGAGGATGGCTAGGACTCCAGCCAGTGGTGCTGATTAGACAGATATACAAACTGGGAACCCAGGAGGGAAGTCTAGACAGCAGATAGAGCCGAGAGTTAAGAGTCTACAGCCTTAAGTGATAAGTGAACCCATGGGAATGAACATGACTGCCCAGTGGGACCATGTAAAGGTGGAAAATAAGGGGACTGAGGACAAAACCTTTTGTCCTCAGATTTAAGAATGAACAGAGTAAGAGAAACCCGCTGAAAAAACAGAAGGAGCATCCAGAGATGTATGAGAAAACCCAGAAGCATAAGCTGTCACTTATGCCAAGAATCTCCAGTATTTCCACGGAGATGAAGAGGGCCTTGCTGTTAAATACCACAGGGAAATCAAACAAGAATTGAAAAGTCCTTTGTTGGATTTAGTAACAGAACAGCCACTAGTGAGCTTGTCGAGAGCAGTTTCAGTGAAGTGTTAGGTTCAGGAGCTAGATTACAGTAGCTTGAAAAGACAGTGTATGCAATCCACAAGTGCAGAGAACTCTTTTAAGAAAATCAAAATTCTGAAAGAAAAGGGTTTTTTTTTTTAAAGGCAGTAGCTGCAGCAGAGATTTGGAATTGACCATGGGTTTGTTTGTTTTAAAACAGTAAAGACTTGAATCCCAGCACTTTGGGAGGCAAAGGCAGGGGGATCGCTTGAGGCCAGGAGTTCAAGACCAGCCTGGGCACCATATTGAGACCCCATCTCTACAAAAATTGTAAAAATGAGCTGGGCATGGCGGCACACGCCTATAGTGCTACTTGGGAGTCTGAGGCAGGAAGATTGCTTGAGCCCTGGAGTTTGAGTTTATAGTTGGCTATGATTACACCACTGCACTCCAACCTGGGTGACTGAGTGAGATCTCTAAAAAAATAGCTCAACACATTAACTGCCATTTAACTCAACACCAGAGCCATGTGAAGTATATAAAATCCTACATGTTGATATTCTTATTGTTACAATTAATATTGATAATGTAATTCTAAAAATGTAGATTAAATAGAAGTCAAATTTCATTTTTATATTTATATTCACCTTTAAATTGCACTCAAAGTTTTTATTCTATGTTCATAATAAAACACTGTGGCCCCGAGGAAAAGTTACTGATTTTTGTGTGTGGCAGTCAATATGTTCATAAATAGTTAAAGTAAAATGGTAGAGGCTTAATCATCTTTAAATGATGATAGATGCTTCAACAACAAAAAAAGACAAATAACTCAATTTTAAACAGGGAAAGGATCTGAATAGACATTTTTTCCAAGAAGATGTACAAATAGTCATTGTGCACCTGAAAAAATGTTCGTCTTTAGCCATCAGAGAAATGCAAATGAAAACATAATGAGATACCACTTTACACCCACTAGGATGACTTCAGTCAACAAGACAGACAATGACAAGTGTTGGCAAGGATGTGGAAAAATTGTAACAATCATATATTGCTGATAGGGATGTACAATGATGCAGTCATTTTAAAAAACAGTCTGATCTTTCTTCAAAAAGTTAAATAGAGTTACCTTATGACCCAGTAATTCCACTGGTAGGTATATACCCAGGAGAAATGAAAGCATATGTTCTCACAAAAATTTGTACACAAATATTCATAGTAATATTTTAATAGCCAGAAAGTAGAAACAATCCCAATGTCTATCAACTGATGATAAACAAAATGCATTATACATTGTAAATATCATAGATTGGGAGACTTAATCAACAGATACTTGTTTCCCAGCAAGCTGGGAAGTCCAAGATCAAAGTGCCAGAAGATTCGGTACTGGTGAGGGCTCTTTGCCTGGCTTGCAGCTGGCCATCTGCTCCCTGTTTCCTTACGTGAAGGAGAGAGAAAGATCTGGTGTCTTATCCTCTTCTTATAAGGGCACTAATTCCATCTTGGGGGCTCTACTCTCATGGACCTCATCTAAACCTAATTAATTTCCAAAGACTATGCCTCCTAATACTATCATATTGGGGGTTAGGGATTCAACATATGCATTTGGAGGATGGGGAGGACACAGACATTCAATCTATAACATTCTGCCCTGGCCCCCTTGCATGTCCTTCTTTCACAAAAATATATTCATTCCATCCCAACAGCCTCAAAAGTCTTAACTTATTCTGGCATCAACTCTACAGTCTAAAGTGCAAAGTCTTATCTAAATGTCATCTAAATCAGATATGGATGAGACTCAAGGTACCGTTCATCCTGAGGCAAATTCCTCTCTAGCTGTGAACCTGTGAAATCAAATCAAAAACATGTTATGTGTTTTCAAAATACAATGGTGGGATAGGCATAGAAGATAGACATTTCTATCCCAAAGGGCAAATTTGGAAAGAAGAAAGGGGTGATGGGTCTCAAGCAAGTCCAACATGTGGCAAGGTAAATACCATTAGATCTTAAAGCTCAAGAATAATTCTCAGTGGTTCAATGCTCTGTCTTTGGGATTCACTGGAGTAGTGGCCCTGCTTTCTGGACTAGCTTAGGCAGAAATCTTGCCCTCAAGACATTGGTGTGTAGGGCTTCAACATATGAATTTTGAAGGGAACACAAACATTCATTTCATAACATGGTATAGCCATACCATGGAATACCATTCAGCTGTGAAAAAGGAATGAAGCACTAATAAATACTACAATGTAGATGAACCTTGAAAACATTATGTTAATGAAGGGAGCCAGACACAATAAGCCACATATTGTATTATTACTCTTATATGAAAAGTCCCAAATAGGCAAATCCATAGAGATAGAAAGTAGATGTGGTTGCCGAGGGCTGAGGAAGAGGAGGGGATGGTGAGTGATTGTTAATGAGTATGGAGTTTCTGGGGTGATAAGAATGTTCTGGAAGGTAATGTTATGGTTGCACAACCTTATGCATATAGCAAAAACCACTGGATTATATGCTTTAAATTGATGGATTTTATATATGTGGATTATATCTGAATAAAAAGATATTTTTAAAGGATGATAGGGAGTGTTGAGAAGGTTTGGGAGTAGAGGAAATGATTGAGCTAAGTCAGTGACTGAATTTCTCCGGGGTAAAGGGACAGTGAGCCTGAGTAGGGTTCCTCTAGCTGAAGGGATTAGCTAGAAGGTCGGGGGGAGAGGACGTCTCCCAGGGGATAAAAGGAAAGGAGGTGAGGTTGAGTGTTGATGTTTTGTAGAGCAAAAGCCAGGATGAAGTCGAGATTGGGGTAGGTAGAAAGGAATCTGCCAGGCCAGGTGCCAAAATTTTCAGTGAATAAGAAAGAATGATCTGGAGGTGACAACTGTTAGGTAAGGTGGAGGATGAGAAGGTAGGATAGTCTGCATCTTGAAGGAGCAGAGATTTGTATACCTGAATGGAGGGCAGTGGCCTGGAAGCCAGGTGGCCCATTCCCTGCGCAGTGCTGGTGTGGGAGAAGGCCCTGCCCCCACTAGGAAGGGATTCTGGGGAGACTGAGGCTCGGAAAGAGG